TTTCGGAAACTCCTACATATGTCAGTTCAGTTTTCTGGGGTAGTGTCGGGCAAAGTCTGAGGGCTGAAGGCGGGTCACCAGGCGTTAGATTGACGGATACAGTCTCCCCAGACCACCGGGAGGATCTAAAAAGTAGATCCCCTAATTTGGGACCCTGGCTACTTCAGGTGTACTTTATAGGAACCCGTTAGGGGATCTATTTTTTGGATCCTCCCGGAGGTCTGGGTATAAGCGTCCTTCCAAGCCAAAACCTGGAGCTTCAAGCCCTGAGCTCAAATTCAATTCTGAGGGCATCCTACTTAAAGGATCATGGGACCTAGTAAGTAGGGTTATAATTAGGGTACCTATACTTATAACCCCAATTAAGGGACTTATAACCTTACTTACTAAGTCCCATGATCCTCCGAGCAAACCCTAAACCCTAAACCCTAAACCCTAAACCCTAACCGAATCGGTAACCTGACCTACTAAGTCCCATGATCCTCCAAATAGGCAGAGCTTGCGCCTTTCTGTCAGGTCGTGCGATGTGTGACGGCAGCACACAGCCACGGCTTGGCTGCTCCGATTCAATCACTAGGTTGGTTTTTGGGACATTTCTCATTTTCCCTATTTGGGTTTATAAGGGACCCTTTATATAAATATTTTTCAGAGGGTTTAAAGGCCAACCCAGATCATCTTGTCTTCAAGAGCACTTGGAGGATCATGGGACTTAGTAAGTAAGGCTATAAGTCCCTAAACCTGGGGTTATAAGTATAGTTACCCTAATTATAACCCTACTTACTAAGTCCCATGATCCTTTGAGCATGCGTCAGTTCGGATTCACGGCCGTCTTCTCAGTGCATTGAGGTGCTCCGCGCTGTGAGGAAACTTGCGAATGAGAAGTCCTTACAGTCTAAGCCTGGGTATCCAAAAACCTACCGTTTTAAGGGTTAGGCCTTATAATTAAGGGGTCATAACCTACTATTTCGTAGGGTTTGGGGATAGAGAACCAGTGTTTTGGGGGCTTCTTGCGTGTGCTCGGTGGTGAAATTCTGCAAGGTACACAGAACCCGACACTGACCAAGTGCTCAACTTTAACCTAGGACGGCCATATCTCGATCTCTGAAACCCATGCCGTACTTCCGCTAGTATACTGCGTATAGGGCTTGGGCTTAGGGTTGCAAGTTGAGTCGAATATGGCCCGGAAAAACATGCCGAAAAGCTTCATGCGAGAGCAGCGAATAATGTTGCTGGTCTTCTTCTTGTTATTGTTTTTCTTGTTGTTGTTGTTGGTGGTAGTGGTGGAAGGGTGGTGGTGGTGGTGGTGGTGGTGGTGGTGGTGGTGGTGGTGGTGGTGGTGGTGGTGGTGGTGGTGGTGGTGGTGGTGGTGGTGGCGGTGGGGTGGTGCTGGCGGTGCTGGCAGTGGTTTCGTTCTGGTGGCGGTAGTGCTGGTGGTGCTGGTGCCGGGGCTGGCGCTGGCGCTGGCTGATCCTGACAGACAGGCTTCACTAAACATATTATTGGGGAAATATAGTTTTCCCCCAAGCCTATTGTTGGGGAAAGATATTTTCCCCAATAATCTTTTCAGGAAACAGTCGCAGCTATCGACAACTGGGGTGGGCGGATTTCGGGAGCGCTCCATGGCTCCATTGGCTCAGTTGCTCTTTTCCACATCGCATAGGGCATGCAAACAACAGCCTCCTCGGCTTCCCCTCAGTTCGCGGAGGGTGATATGGGAGTTTCTGAAAATTAGGGTACCTTATTGTGAGGTCCTTATAATAGGGATCCTCTTAGGGTACTATATTAGGGTCCCCTATTTTCGGAAACCCCCATATGCAGGATGTGTGTTCCCACATTTTGCCTGAGACAGACGAGCCCCCAGGATTGCAGATTAATGAGGAAGGCGGGTGTTCCCATTCTGTGTTTGCCCTGGCCCTGGATCGAATGGGACATCTTTTGATGTTGACAACCATTCCGGCAAAAGGGTACCACGCCATGCTGCAGACGGAATGCATACTCAAAGGATCATGGGACTTAGTAAGTAGGGTTATAATTAGGGTAACTATACTTATAACCCCAATTAAGGGACGTATAACCTTACTTACTAGGTCCCATGATCCTCCAAGTATGGTAATGTGACAGCCTTAACGACCGGGCCGTTTTGCTCACCGAGGAAACTTTCTCCGCAATCAGCCGAACTGCTTGAGCGCCGTCCCTGTAACGATCGACACCTCCTTCCGCGACGAAGGTTGTCGGTCCATATCGGATGAGTCGTAGCCCTTACCTGCGCCGAGTTCTGAGCGAACATTGGCCTCACGCCGAACAGCACACCAAAACAGCGCACCTGAACAAAACAGCCCCATGGCATCAAGACAACCATCCCTTTAGTTTTACGAAACAACAATAACCGTCTCGCAACCAAAGAAAGAATGAACGACTGTAGGAAAGCAGGAGAGAGAGAGAGAGAGAGCGAGAGAGAAAAAGAGAGTGAGAGCAAGACAGAGAGAGAGGGAGAGATAGAGCGCGAAATAAATGTTGTTGTTGTGGTTGCTGTTGCTGTCGTTGTCGTTTTTGCTATTGTTAGTGTTATTGTTCTTAGTGTTGCTTTACTTTTGTTATTGTATATTGTTCATGTTGGTGGTGGTGGTGCGGTATTCATGTTAGCGCTGATGTTAATATGTTAATCTTGGTGTTGGTGTGGTTGTCGTCGTTGTCGTCGTCGTTCTCGCTGTCGTCGTTGTCATCCTTGTGTTCGTGATTGTATTTCTGGTTCTGGTTCTGGTTGTTCGTGGTGTTGATGGTGTTGAGATCGACGATCATGTCGGTGTTGGTGTTGCTTTGGTTCTTGTTGTTGTCGTTGTTTCTGTTGCTGTCGCTGTCGCTGTCGCTGTTGCTGCTGCGGTTGGGGTTGTTGCCGCTGTAGTTTTCATTTGGGGTGCAAGGACGTTCAGCCTTAAATCAACTTTTTGCCACTGTTCAGGTTCTGCCGTCGCTCCGTTCGGTTTTCGCCGCGCCTTCGCCTTCGGATCTTGGGCCGCGGAAGGTGCAGGGTCATGTTCCCCTGATACTGTAGCTGATAGCTTTATTTCCCATCAGCGCAGGATGCTCGACGTGTCTGTGGTCGTTTGGTGCTTCAGGGTCCAGGGTTCAGGGATTTGTCCGAAGGGCGGCGCAACTCCTTGGCTTTCGGATTTCTGATGGTATCGGAATACTGTATACGCATAATGGACATAGATGGATGTGGAGATGGGTAGATAGGTGAGATCTTTGATATGGTCGGTTGATCGAGGTCTTACGGATTCGGGTTCTAGTTCGGAAAGCGCCAGGCAGGCATCCTATCGCCAGCGAGCCGAGCCCAATACCAGCAACCCTTGTTTCGACTGTAGCCGCACACTCGCCGTGCCAGGGCTCTTGCAGCAGCAATGAATGCGATCTCAGGTCCAGAAGACACACCCCTAAACCCTAAAACCTAAAGCACAACTCCCAAGCCGAATCCCAACAATCAGGGACACAAAAAAGCTGAACCTGAAACACCAATCCCTAAAAATGGTCCTTCAACTCCAAGGCTTGAGCCACGGAACTCCGAGATCTATTTCATGTTGCTGAAAGTTCATTCTCTTCTGTGCCCGTTGCTCTCTGCCGTTCTACTCTATCCCATTCCATTCAAGTACCTTCGATTATATCCCTAAAAGCCTAAAAAACCCTACAGTCCGCCCCTCTTTTGTCCGGTGCTTAGTCGGGAATGGTCCCTTTTAGTAGTCCCTACTGTTGATGGACAAAAACCTGCATGACCTTATATACCTAAACTACGGGATTTATGGTACTATACTATGTTTGGGTCATGCAGGATTTTGTGCATCAACAGTATAACCCATTCCCCCATTCCCTACTAAGCACCAGACAGACGTTTGCCAGGCTTCTGCTCCAATGTTGGCCTTTACCGTGCTGGCGGACTTGCTCGGAACGGCAGACCAGGTGGGCCTCAAGTGAACGGGCTTCACTTGGAGGGTCATGGGACTTAGTAAGTAAGGTTATAAGCCCTTAATTGGGGTTATAAGTATAGTTACCCTAATTATAACCCTACTTACTAAGTCCCATGATCCTTTAAGCAGGCGTCGGGGTTCAGAATCAACGGGCTTCAGGCTTCGGGGTTCACTGGACTTTGAAGTAACCAGGGAGAAAAAGTATAGATTTTTATTTCATCATGGTTCCTTTAAGGAACAGATCCCAAAAGAAAGTATTAAAGTATGGTACTCCAAAGCCCAGTGATTCAGGATCATGGATCATGGTGGTTGGGGTTTAGGGCTCGAGGGTTTAGGGTTGTTTGGGACTTTTCTGGGCTTTTGATTAGGCTTTACTCCTGTAGAGTCTATAGAGGGTTTTAGGCGTTGTTACTTGGAGGATCATGGGACTTAGTAAGTAAGGTTATACGTCCCTTAATTGGGGTTATAAGTATAGTTACCGCAATTATAACCCTACTTGGGGCGCCCAAATTCGCTAAGCAGTCGTGGCCAGAAGCAGATTGAAAACGCCGCCTGCCGACCAGAGAGCCGGGCCTCTTTGACCATGGTTACTTAAAGGATCATGGGACGTGGTAAGTAGGGTTATAGTTAGGGTTAGGGCTTAGGGGTTAGGGTTTAGGGCTTAAAGGATCATGGGACTTAGTAAGTGGGGTTATAATTAGGGTAACTATACTTATAACCCCAACTAAGGGACTCTAACGCGACTTCATTTTGACAAAGCGGCCTGAATAACTACAGCAGCGTCTTGCGATGTGGCACAAAAAGAAATGTATGAATAGAGATGCAAGATGATACAATAAACAGGCACATCTGCATGCAAATAACATGAATAAACAAATTACATTGAATAAACAGATACATGTTTATATGAACAATACTAGGGTATTGCTACCTTGTATTGAAGGTTATATAATTCCCTAAACCCAAAACTCCAGAAGGAGGTATCTCCGGATTTGGGACGGCATTGAGGCTGTGCCAGGAGTCAAACTTGATCCGGGAAACCTAAACCTTAGTCCTTTAGGGTTTAAGGTTTAGGGTTTAGGGTTGAGGGTTTAGGGTTTAGGGTTTAGGGTTTCTGCTTGGTGTGGCATCCGAATCACAGGGCCCTAGAGCCCAAGAATCCAAGCAGGTCTGGATTTGGGCCAGTCATGAAGACCACATAGGTGGTTCTCTAAACTAGGGCCAACTAGGGCCCGATGTGAAGAAGGACCTTTAAAGGGAGCCTAGTTTAGAGAACTACCCAAGTTCCAGCCTGCAAGACTACAAGGTTGGGGGTTGAGCACTGCTGTTGTCCTCTATAATCCCCAACCTGGCAAGCTCTGAACCAACAAAAACCCTACAGACTGAAACTCTGAACCCTAAACCGCCGCAGTTCTAAACCCCAATCGCGAAGACGCGACACGATGAAGAGACACCTGCCACCCCAGCCCAGGTCACCACAGATCGAGCGTCGCGGCCAAGAATGGTGCCATTGCTCCAGCGCCCCAACCGACCGTGAAGTAACGGCCCAGAGAGTCCAATATCCCGAAGTTTGGGTTCAAGTCCTAAACCCTAAACCCTAAACCCTAATCATACACTTTGCAAGTACATTTACCATTCTAGGGGTATTGGGCTCTCCGATGGCCGTAAAACTGAGGAGTTCGGCATGTTCAGATACCGATCACCAGCGGTTTAGGGTTTAGGGTTTAGGGTGTCTGGAGAAAGAAGCTGGGGCTGGGGAGAAAGCGGCTAATATAGGAGCCTTAACAATTAGAATAGAGTTGGGGGGCCCATTGCACCATAATTATAATACGGAGCCCCCCAAAATAGTATGGGTAATTTTTTAGGCCCCTGCATTAAGCATTCCGTGGACCAGCGCAGTTCGTCGTTCAATATGCAAGGGGGTGGTGAGAAGGGTTTCTGGCATGTAGAAGTGAACCAGCTCCGGTGGTAATCTAGGGGTCTAACTGGGTGGTTGTCAAAATTATGGTCCCTTTTGGGGTCCGTAATATAATACGGCACCCAATATTTAGGGTGCCCCAAAAGGGACCCTCATTTTGACAACTACCCAAATGATTACCTATACTATGTTGGGGATTCCTTATTGGGGATTCCTAATTGTAATTATAGTATCATATACCCCAGAACCCTATTCAAATTATTAAGGCTTCTACATGACGGCTTAGTCTTTTGCAAGATTGGCCTGCTCGGGTACAACATGTCATGTTTCGTCAGCTTCCTGTGACCATTTCAGTCGTCTACATCTCGCTGCAGACCTCTTGACCCCAACCGCTGTGTGGCTTGGGGTGTGTGCATGTGCTTGTGTATAGTTGTTGTTCTGCATTCTTGTACAAGTTGGTTAGTTTGCATAATGTTCTAGTATACGAAATCCAAGAATCAGGGCCTTTGCTGTCCCAGCGGTGTCCCCCAAACTTTGCAGCCTAATGTAGGGGCCTAAATAACGACCTCCACTATTTTGGGGCTCCGTATTATATTTATAGTCCAATGGGCCCCGAAACCCTATTCTAACTGCTCAGGCCCATATATTAGGCCTACGCCCTAAACCCTAAACCCTAAACCCTAAACCCCTAAACCCTAAACCCTAAACCCTAAACCCCCCAATCCCAGGCTGTGCGTTTGCACACTCTGGAGATCCAAGATCGGTGACAAGTTGGCCTCGGATGAAGGAGGGGCCCTTCTCGTCTATAGTGAAGCCTCACGTAGGGCCCCAAGAATTTACCAATACTATTTTGGGGCTTCATCATCATTATACTTATAGTATAACATCCCCAAAACCCTGTTCTAATTATTAAGGCCCTTCTCGTCTAAAGTGAAGCCTACCCTAAACTCCCAAAGCCCAAACGCAATTCTAATGAGTCAGTCCTGTAGGCCCGTATGGCCCGTGTGTTATGATCAAGGCTTGGATATCGAGCCTCTCTTTTTTTGACAGATCTGTTTTGCTTCCGGTTTGCCGTGTGCACGTAGCTTTCTTGACCCTGGAGCCCCGAGCCGAATTTTCAAGCAGCTCCTGTACTTGGACGATCATGGGACTTAGTAAGTAAGATTAGAAGTCCCTTAATTGGTGTTTTAAGTATAGTTACCCTAATTATAACCCTACTTACTAAGTCACATGATCCTTTAAGTATCATGCGGATCAGATCCCACTCAGCGATCGTCGGGAGTCTTAGCACGAATAAGGCGAGGAAGGGACTAGAAGTAGTGATGCGAACAGTTCTACAAGTACCCAGCTTAACAACACCAAGACGGCAGACGCCCTACACCTAACATGGGGGCCTCAAAAATGTCCTATACTATTTTCTTTAGGGGGGGGTCCTTATTGTTAGAATTCTGGCATTTATTAAAGGCCCCTAAACCCTAAACCCTAAATACATGAGCTGCTACATGCCAGCTCTGGGGACCGCCTTCAGCCTAGGCCCTAGGTCGGGTCTTGGGAGCTTGCTTCCCAGAACCGTCTGGGGCTTCCACGACCTTGAGGGTGTAGGGCTCAAGGGGTTTAGGGTTTTGGGGTTTCGGGTTTAGGGTTTCGGGTTTGGGGTTTAGGGTTTGGGGTTTAGGGTTTGGGGTTTAGGGTTTCGTGGTTTAGGGCTTTTTTGCCTGGGAAACCGAAGCAGGAGGTCTTTGTTTTTAGGGGATAGGAGCAGGATGATGCCTTGGTGTGCGAAGTAGTGACATTTTATTCCGTTTTGCACCCCGTAGAAGCCATCAGGCCTGAAGCTCCGTACCCGAATGAGCTAAAAAAAAGAGGGACGTTATAATTTAGAATAGGGTTCGGGGGGGGTTCCTTAGTCTGGTTGTAGTATTTTCTACCCCAAAACCCTGTTCTAATTATGAAGGCCCCTACATTAACTGCCAACTTCCTTGCTTCCACATGGACTCGGCTGACTTTCCGAGGCCAAGCCAGGCTTGAAGCCTGGCAAGACGGTCCAAAACTTAGTTCCCCAATACCCAACCTTTAACCTTCTTGGGTTTCTATCATTCAGTAGCAATCTGAAAGTTTAACCCTTTATTTCCCTGGCTTATTGGGGAAGTAAGAGAAGCGATTCCAAATTCATTCGTCTTCCGAACGAAGTACCCTGACTATCGTTCATGTTGATCAACACCGTGCCGGCTGCGATCTTTCAATCCGACCTAACACTGACATATTCCCAGGAGACGTCTGCCAGACCCGCCGGATGGAGCCGCAGCTTCGCTTGTACCCCGGCCGGCTTCTGAAACGGGGGCCATGCTGCCGAAAACGGCTGCTGGAGATCACGGAGTAGCTATAGTGGCTATAGTTCACCCATCGTCACGGTATTTACACATCCATTACCCACTAGTACAGGCAAGCTAATAACCCACGCGTTGGCACGAACAACAACGCGAATGTTGCCACTGGTGCGACTTCTGCATGGTACATACGTAGCAGCAGCAGCAGCAGCAGCAGCAGTAGCAGCAGCAGCAGTAGCAATGGCCAGCAGCAGCAGCAGTAGCTGTATGAGCAGTTTACTAAAAGCAGAGTGAGCACCTTTGTCCACAGCAACTGAAAGACACATTTTCAACTACAAAATCTGGCGCTTTAGGGTTTAGGGTTTAGGGTTTAGGGTTTAGGGTCATCTGGTAGTTTCCCCGCTTTTTCCCGGCACAAGGCTATTCTCTGACGACGGCCACTGGACTGAAGCCCTGGCTGGTGGGCCTTTTCGCAGTTGCCCCTGAGTGTGGTCAAGGATGAGGGTTTAGGGTTTGGGGTTTAGGGTTTAGGGTTTAGGGTTTAGGGTTTAGGGTTTAGGGTAGGATTACTTAGGGGTACTTAGAAATATAATTGTTTCAAGGTACTGAAAGGATCATGGGACTTAGTAAGTAGGGTTATCTTAAGAGTACTTGGAGAAATATTGTTTTTAACTTTGGCTGCTATAAACCCGAAGAAGCAGCTAGAATTATAATTTTTGCGAGGGGTTTAAGTTCAGTATAGATTAGGGTTTAGGGTTTGGGGTTCAGTCTTGGGGGCGCCCGGACCGGGTTTAAAGTTTGACTCAGAACGGTTACACAGGTCACGCAAATCACATGACGATCAACGGTCCATGATTTCCTCATCCAAGGTGACTCAGTCTTGCTGGGCAACAAGTTTGTGGAAGGACAGGCTTCGAGGGCAAAATGAGCACGGGCCTGCTGTTTAAACTTGGCTTGTACGGACGGTCAAGTTTGGTTGCGATCCACTTCTTGTTTCAATACTACGTTTCTTACACGTTGAAGCATTCCAGACAACTAGGAATCATGCTCCTACTGATCATGTCAGCACCAATCCAAAAGCTGCTTAGTCACGAAGCTCCTCTCCGCTTTTGCCACTTCAGCCTTCGTTGCCCCACCACCATTTAGTGGCTCCTACCATCTAGCGGCTCCTACGTCTGATTTCGCTCCCGCGGCTTCTTCTGTCGTCGCTGTGCAACCTTCCCTCATTCCTCCGACGAATAAACCGTTAACCCTTAGCCCTGCAACCCCTAAACCCTAAACCCCAAACCCTGGGCCCTAATACCCTAAGCCCTAAAACC